ACTGTTGCTTCAGTTTAACTGGTGGCCTGCATTCAAAGCATAGGAAACATGGTTCCTTTCCTGGAAGACTGATGTTCTCGCTGTTCTTCTATGCAGCGACACTCCTATTTCATGACAGCACCAAAAAGCATGTGCATGCACAATGGTGGCAAAGAAGGTGACCTAACCCTTTACATGCCAAGTGCCTTTAGAGAAGCCAGCACCCCACTCCTCTTTGGTAAGTCTAACCCATGCCTCAGGTATGTTTTGTTTTTTCTAGCCTTGTATTCTTCCCTAGGCTGACCAGCCACAGCTCAGAGCCTCTATAGCCAAACACTATTTCTATTCCCCATTAGTTTTCTGCATAACCTAGAGTCTGAATTGGCAGCTTGATGAGTTGTCTGAAATCATTCAGTGTGTTTGCCATTTCAGTTCTTAGCTTGCCCACTCAAATCACATAGCGACAAAAATCAGATTTTTTTTTTTTCTTATTAGAGTCAAACAGTTTTCATGCCTTTTAACACCTGCACATAACACTCTGGAAGACTTAACTATTAGCACAATATTTGAAGAATAAAAGTAGCTCAAATTTGAACTTCTTGAAATATTAGAAAGGCCATATTTGGTAGGCACTTATAGAGAGGGCATGTCTTTTCTGGCATGATGATGGAGGAGGATGTTCCTGTTGGAATAAGTCTGTTAAGGCTACTGGCATTTTATTGCCACTACCTATCTGTTGGTACATCAAAGCTATGGATAGGTAGTTTTAAAAATAATCCTGAATACCCATCTTCAGCTCTAGGGATCTTGCTTGTCTTACACCAGTTTTGAAGGAAGGCTCAGATTCTTTCATAAATAGATGAAGCTCTACCAAGTCAGGGAGAATTGTAATTGCTTATATTTAGCTTTGTAAAGATTGAAGATGGCATAGTGCAAGTTAAAAGGTTGGGTCAGTTTTCCACACTTGCTCTCACACTTTTTATACTTTTCCTAGTCTGCTTAAATGCAAGTTAGCTGTGGAGTTACTCATGTTTTATACCAGGGTGAGCAAGGTCTCCCTGAAATCATAGAAACCAGTGATACAGGAAAAAATAGGCCTAATGCTTTTCCTACTCTGCCCCCTTCTGATTCTTCAGGCCCTGCAAGGCAGTTCAGGAGTGCCAGGCTTCACACCATTTATTTCTGCACAGACCTAATCCCAAATTGGCCTTGGGAGCTGTCACTTAGTTCAGGCTGCAGTTGATAGGACTCGCACAGTTCCCAGTTTTGGAAAACTTCCATTCCAGCTACTTGGCCCTGTACCTGTCCCAGGTTTCTATATCAAGGAGTTTAGTTAGTTCTACTTCAAAGTCTCTAGTTATTTATATCTTTTTAATACTGAGCCATAAATAGTGCTGAGCCCCAACACCTCCCAAATTGTGCTCTTGGGCACCTGTCAAACAAATGTGTCACACAAAGAAGATAACAGTTTATATTCACTTAACTCCTTGATTGCTCAGGACAAATGTCTTGAATTTAGAGTGGGAAAAGATGAGCGACAACAAACCTGCAGCAAACAGCAGATGTAAAAGAAATTATAGTGACTTCTGTGATCATGTTCGATGCCCTGATCTGATGTGGGCAGATCTTTCTTATGTAACCAAGCTTAAACCCAGCATTTACTCTCTTACTCTTACTCTGTTTCCCATTTGTAGAATGGGAACAGCTCAGATCACTTTACCTTACTGGTGGCAGGGGAAGCAAGGATAAATTCAGTGAGGGATAGAACAGTGTGGTAGCAGAAGTTCTGGCAAAGATATCACATTTGTCCAGACTGCTTCCTTATAAAACAACTGAGTTAAAGAAAACTAGATAGCCCCTGGTACTCCTGAGGACACGGACAACACGATCTAGCTAGACCCTAGGTTCCCCAGTGCCAAGAGCTGGAATGACAGCAGCATGCTCTTTTTTTTTCCTGCAGATTAGCAAGACCTGCTGGGACAGAACAGGAGACTGCAAGGGAGAAGAGGAATGATGAAGCAGTAAGTATAATTGTTCCTTTGCTTCTTGAAGATGTTCAGAAGAAAATCTAATTTAGTGATGTCTGGAGGAGTCCCTGACTTATGCTTGGTGTTTGTAGGACTGACACTAGGGCTGAATGCTTTAAAAAAATACATAAATAAATAGGGAGGGACCCAAACAAAATGGACCATGCAATGTAACAGCAGCACCTCACCCAGAGCTGCAGTCCTGAACATGGCATCACATTGAAACCAGCTGGTTTTAAACAGATTCTGGCAGCACGAGCTCACTCTCACTCAAAACCTCTCCTGTGCTGTGCCAAAACTGTAGCCATGCTGGGGTGTAGGGTGCCTGCTTTCTCCCTGCCATGAGGGAAGACTCCAGGGCCTTCAGTCTCACTGAAAAACAAAGGGCATACAGCACAGTACTCTAAAATGGCTGGTACTTCTCCATATAGAATTACTGCCCTCCCGTGGCTGCCAAGGAGCATCTCTAATGCAGAAACAGGGAGACCAGGGTCTGAGGGAAACAAGAAAGAAAACTTAACTATATATTCAATTTAAACCAAAATGCAATTTGAGTTACAAGGAAGAGGAAGGCAAACACACTGTGTGATTAACTGGAAGTACCTAGGAAGGCAAGAACAAAGCAGAGAATTTACTGGTTTGGGAGTAGCAGGGAGACCTCCAAATACTTTGTTTTGCAAGGAGAGCGGGCCTTGAGCTATTATTCTTCACCAGAATCCCATCAGCAAGTGCCATTTACTCAAAGACAGATGGTCCATCTAACTTCATCTGATTGCCCCATGGAGGAGACTTCACTGGCAACTGGTGCAAAGAAGGTATGGGAGAGCAGACCACTACTTTTTCCTGCCTGTGATAGACGTGTGCTATGACCTTGCTGTATCTACTAACCTACATTGGCCCAGCTTCAGCAGTGTTTATAAAGCTCTTGCTGAGACACCTAATATCGCAAATGTGTCCTTTTCTCTCTGTGAGCCAGGAGATGACACTTCTAGCACAGATTGAGTCCTTTCTGAGGGACTTCCCTTAAGAGCCTGAAGTTCAGTTTTATGAATGAGACCTTGAGTATCTGATGAGAGCTGCTGTGGAAGCACTGCATGGTTCTGCAAGGAGCATCCTGTTTCTTGTACTTCTTTTATGACTGTGCTGCTTCTCGCACATGCTCTGCAGCCAGAATGCCTCTCCAGTCTTTGATGCACAATACACTCTTTAAACAAAACAACCAAAACCAAAAGCAACAATGAAGTGACAAGAGGGAACACAGCAATAAGCACAAGCAGCAACTGCGTGGTCAGAAGGTGATAATGCCAAACTGGTTGAATTGCACACGCTTCTAACAAAGGCATTAAATGCTGCAAGGAGGCCGCATACTCCCCACCAATAAAAAGCTTGGATTTGCATTAGGCAGACTTACCACTACATGTTTGTTTGTGAACTTAGCTTGACTCTTACATGTTAGAGATTGGTGTCATATTTGGGACTACATGCAATGAGACACTTCGACTGGAGAGGAGGAGTCGGTGGGACAGGGATCATGTAGGAAAGTGCCAACACATGGCACCTCCTATAGGACTTCAGGCTGTCAAGTGACACCTGCATCAAGACAGGTGTCACCCCAGCCTACACAACAGCTGTGCTTTTTCTAGGATGCGCATCAGTGGGAGTATTAGGATTTCTTCAGGGTGAAAGAGACTGCAGTTCAGCAGAGCATGCAGCAAGTTGAAATCAGTGAATGAACACAGTAGACAGACAAATGGTTTTCTCATTCAAGTTGCCAGGTCACTGAGTCAATATCTCATGTAGTAGCCAACTAGGGAGTAGAGTAAATCATGCCCTCTCCATTTTCATATCGTAGGCTACGCTGCACAATGTTAACATCACAAACAGAACTTAACTTTATGCACAGGTGAAAGTGTCCAATGAGACGAGAAATCACTCAATATCATTTTAAAACTTGTGTGTATGTGTGTATATATACACACGCATAAACACACACAGTGAATATATATATTTGTAGTAAATACATATGAACTTTTACACAATTAAAACCACTCCAGTATATATGTGATATACTCCTGTCACTCACCAGAACAATACATTTTGTTGCACTGACAGAATCTGTTGCTCAGTTACCTTTTAAATTACAATTTTTGTAAGTTATGCAGAACTGCTCAGTGGAAGGCCAATCTTTGGCAAGCACAAATCTGCAGAAAACCACCAGCTGCAGTAGTGATCCTTCAACATTTGAAGGTACCCCCCCCCCGCCCCCCCAGTTTCCTTCAAATATCAACTCTGCTTTCATAGAAATAAATTGTTTCTAACAATATGCCACGACCATGTTAAGCCAAGCAGAATTTTTCTTCTGGTACATATAAATATTTCACATCCTCTCTACACCATGCAACGCAGAAAGTAAAATCAAGTTTGCAACTGATTGTATTCTGATTTGGCCCTGTAACTGTTTTAATTTATATAAAAAAAAAACAAAAAACCAAAAAAACCACCTGAAACAAAAATAAAAACGAACTCTGACATAAACCTTAAAAATCAGCAGAGCTCTAGTGATTTACATTTCCAAAGGAAATGCCTTTTAGTAACAATTAACTGTCTGCAGCTAAGTCCAAACATTGCAAATGTAAGCAATGTGGACAGAAAACTAAACAACAAGCAAGAATTACTTACTTGTCCAAACCGAGACAGACACAACTCATAAAAACTCTTACATGCTTTTTAAAAATTTGTTTGAATCACCTGTGTGATGTCCTTGTTAAATACCAAGGTAGATTAGCTTGAACAAGTCTATTGGAAAAAGCCCTACCTTAAAAATGCATAGTTCAAAGCCTTATCTAAAAACTATCTTCAGAGATGAAATTCTGCATCTCTCAATGACATGGCATTATTCACAAAACCTTGCATAATGTTACATTTTGAAACACTGACATTGATCAGCTGTCAAAGAAAACAGACGTAATACACACTCAAGTCAAAAGAAAAGAAATTAAAAAAAATCACAGAACTTTGCTATTTCTAAAAAAAGACTCTCAAAGTAGAAATAAAATTATTTCAAAAGGTGGTGAAAACAGTAAGGTTCATATCAGTCAGACCTGTATTTTTTACTGGCAACAAGCACTGATTTTTTTTTTTTTAAATGAACTCACTTGAGGGTGTGTAAACATTCCTAGCATTAATGATGCTTTATGCAGAGTAATGTAACAGCAGATTAAAGTTTGCACCCCCATATTTTGATACAAACTATGACAGGGTATTTCCAAAAGAGTCCCTTTGACAGTAAATAGCTATTTTAAAATTTGTAATAAAAAAATAATCTTTAAACAGTACCAAAACCTAGGTAAGCCAAGTCTCAATCACTGTAAGAAGACCTCTTCATAAAGGGAAGGTAAATCCTCCTTTGGAGTAGTTACAACAATGCACAGAAATGAGACCAGAAATACACACAAGAAGTTACAGGTCTGATTTACTGGAGTTGTGCAGTAATTTCCACCTTACAGTAATTTGAAGATTGTAGTATGGACCCAGAAAAAGATTTCCAAAAAGATAAAATGCTGGAAGGAGACAGGAAAAACTATTTTTTTTTTTCCCCACGCTGAGGATCTGACGCACTGGAACAGGCAGCCCTGCCTTCATCAGCTGTTAGCTCCAGCGGTGGATGTGCTCAGAACCAGAAGCCTGATGTTTAAATGTCCCACCACTGACACCCTGTCTAGATCCGTCACGGCTCACTATGTGTAAGGTCAGAATAAATAAGCATTTGGGCAATTTCACCAGAAGTTGTGTGCACAGAGGCCAGCTTATGAAGTTCAGCCTCGCTTCTCTAATACTCACAACCAGGTGTAACACACTGCTCTGTTCTATGCATGCTGACTGCTATGCTTTTCTAATTACAAGTATAACTTACTTGCACTGCATGTTTGCACAACACTTCAAAAGTGTGAAGCATTAGAAATTCTAGCGTACAGTTAAACTTAACTGCAATTCCAGGGCTAAAACACCTTAGCTTCTGGAAGCACAGATCAGACCCTTCACCTCTCCCGTGTCCCATGCTATATACAGGTTTCTGCACTCACAACAGCCAGTGTGCACATCAAATAACATAAAAGTAATGCTCTGGCATCAGCAATGAGCCAGGCTTTTCACTGGAGTCCAAGAGTCTTGTGAAAAATCTCAGTTCAACATGTAACTATTAGATTTTTTTTAGTACACATCATGTCACAGAGTTAGTGTTTTCCTTACAAATATATGGCACTAAGTGTAAAACTTTATGACTTATTCCAAACAGTGTACCATACATCACAGCAAAGCTTTAAAAACAATCCTCTAACTCCCACTTCTTCTAAATATACAGCTGGTGGGAGGCCAGGGTGTCCATGAATGGTCGCACAAGGTTGTCTGTCGAGAAGTAAAAGACCAAGCCAAAGGTGATGGAGATGGGAAGAGCAGGCAATGCTTTCTTAAAAACAGCCAGTAATAAAAGAGTTAAGCATAAACCCTGCCAGAGAGAAGAGAGTAAAAAACACAGGGAGATATAGTAAGAAGCCCAGAAACATATCTGTCATCAACAATGTAATATACAAATAATAAGCTATATACACTGTACAGCAATTGAAGCCTGCCTGAGCTACTCAGTGGCATGAGGTACATTTGCCCACAGCTTCATCTTTCACACAGGTTGGACAGATATTTTCTTCAGCAATTTTGAGCACAGCTCTCTGCTGAGAAAGTGGTGTAAACAGCTAATGCTGACATACAGCTGACCCTGAGAGGTTAATTTATTTACAGATTATTTTACATTTTGTTCTACACCATTATGTATGAAGTACTGATCCAGCAGATAAAAGCACTTAAATCCTGGTGAACTGCACAGATAAGGAGTTTCACTGGAGGACTCCAATACACAGCAGCATGTACTTGTAACACCTTCCCAGTCTTCAAGGTCTTTTGGGGGGGGGGGAGAGAGAGAGAGAGAAACAAAACAAAACATAACATCCACTGCTGTTCTTTTGACTGGACTGCTTAGTATGATAGGTGAATTCTGGTTTTACCTGGATAGCAGGCCAAGATCTGGTTTTTTGGAGCATGTGTGAAAGCTTTTGTACATTTCGGGTAGACAGTATGGCTAAGTGCATTTAGGTATGGATTCCTTCTCTCATCTGAGCCCTTTTTAATTCCTCCACGATGACAAAACTTCAGAGACACTTTTTTTTTTTTTTTTAAAAATCAGTGTTTCTAGACTGCAAGTTTGATTACAATCCAACTGAACCTGTAGCTCTGTTCTTGCACTCTCAGGGATCATATGTGGCCTACTCCTGCTCCTTGGTTCACCTCTACATTTAAAGATGTGCTCACTGCTGGGACACTGCACAGCCATTTTTGGGAACCAGAAAGTCACACAGCAGCAAGATTATGAAACTGCAAAAGGAGACAGAACAAATTTTAACTGCACCATAAAAGAAACAGAATGAGGCATTTGGCCTCATGGGCAGACAAGAGAGAACATTTCCCCCAGTGAAGGGACCCTGTGCTGGACCCCAGGATATGGAGCTCAGTGTTCCTATAGGTTTCTCTGACCTATGAGGTAGGAAAGATACACTCAACACCCTTTAAAGTTAGCTCATTTCTAGTTCTCATGCTTTTTGATTCATGATGCTCACAAGTGAAAGTCACTGTCTTTCACTATCCTTGGGATCTAAGTGGGGAAATGGAGGCCCAAGAAGGACACAATAATTCATTTTCTTTTACCTTCCAAAAATCCTGCCGTTGCCCTTCTGGTTAGTTTCCATGAGGATGCTGATGTAATCAGCAAGTTCCTATTGATTATTTTCTACCTAGGGGAAAGCTCAACAGCATGTGGTCATTAGACCTGGCAGGACCAAGTCCTTTAGCAGTTACAGTATTATCATTGTCTGCTTTTACTGATAATTTCCATGGATTTTTAAGTCTCCTTCCTTCTGTTTTTTCCAGCTCAAACATCAGAACAAGATAGGTCTTCATCTTCTTATCTAGCAGTTCTCCTTAGCATAAAGGAGTTAACCTTTTCAACTACACTTGCTAATCAATGTGGAGTTCACAATATTGACTCTTGTGCCTGACAGAAGCCCTAACACTGAAGCAAACCCACTAACTGTTTAGCTGTAACTGTTTTCCCTGGGGCTGTTTCACCCCCGCCATCTTCACACATGGCTCTGCTCTGACAAGTTCATGTTATTCAGCTTCAGTAGCTGTTTAAAGCCTGTCTTTATAGAGAGAACACTGGGTGGTTTCTCCTGAATACCCAGCAGGTTACCTGCAGTGATTTAGCAGTGTTCAGCTGCTGGTACTTCTGGCAACACTGCTGTGCTAAACAGGGTGTAACAGAGTTTTTAAAAGCTTGCTCACTTACTATGAGAATGGCTACAAAGCAGGCCAGCGTAGTATTCCAGTCTCCACTAGCTGTGGCAGCTGCTTTCCCAACAAGCACACTGTAAAATATGAAGTCTCCAAGGCCCAGCTTCACACCCCCTGAGAGAAGTGGAAAAAGAAAACAAGTGTTAATTCTGCTCCTCCTATTTTGCTTTCTCCTGAACAAATTCTTGTCCCCTGCAGGGCAGGTGAAAGTTCCTAGTCCTGGCTACCAACCTGGACCCTTAGCATCCCACACATTACTGAACAGGCTGAGACTTCCAGTCCCCTCTCCCACACTTGTTTTTGCTCAGCCTCATTCTCTGAGGTGCTTCCCTGGGCTGCTTTATAGATGTACCAGCTGAGGAAGCATGAGGATGGAGAGGGATGGGAGGCAAGGGGAAGAAGGAACGGTTTAAATTGTCAGCATAGCCAAGAGATGTCACTGGAACAATCCCAGAACAGATTCTGCAGCAGCAAGAAACAATACACAGTCAGACTCAAAATCTTTGTTGCTCAACGAGTCACAACTCTTCAAATTAACTGTGATTAGACCAAACTAGGTAACAGAGTGTTAACCACAATGAGTAAAAGCATGAGGCTCTGACTCTGACTATACTGAAAACAAGGTATAAAGCTTCCCTTACTTTCCTCCTCCTCAAGCTCCTCTAAAGAGGTGATGGGGCGGGTTGGAACAGGACTCCTCGTCTCCGACATCTGAGAGTCTCCGTGTGAAGGGCTCCTGTGGTTCTCTCTCCCATCCTCAGCTTGGTTCCACAAAAACAGGCCAAGAAGAATGGACAAAAAAAAAAAAACCAACGAACACACACACAAGAGGTAACTACATTTACAACTTGTTTTAATGCATGAAATCCACACTTCTGTGAAGCTTCTCTGGAATGGGTAAGCCCTTTGTTCCTTGGAGGTGTGATCATCAGGACCAGTTCAAGCAGAGACATTTAGTGGCTTTGAGGAAAACACGGGTGTTACTCGAAACAGTAAGAAGGGTACATGTTCACTGGTTCTTTGGCAGCTACCCAGGAGTTCAATGGCTTTAACAAGCGAGTACATACGCAGAACTACGCATTGCTCTGCACAGGCTAGAATGACAAGTAAAACCAAGTAAAGTTAGTACGCATTCCCACATTGTTATATCTTTGGGGTGGAGGTGCTCAGGTATTCCCTAACTGGTCATATGGCAAAAATGGATGACTAAGAGGACTGCCATTTATGAGCAAAGTTCTGCCCTGAATCACATTGACATTGGAGCTGGGTGTTCACATGTAGCAAGCAAACACATTTCATTGTTCACAGATTTAATTTCTCCTCTCTACCCCCCCCCCCCATTAAACACATCTAACAGAGCCCTTGGCAGTGCTTTTGGAAGGAGCCAGTCTGTGATACATTACTCTATCTGACAGTTCCTATTTTTTGAAGTTCTCATACAAACTTTCCAGTCCACATCAGCCTGACAGGATGCTGCTGCTGCAGATGCAAGCAGACTGTGATCTGGGACACACAGAGCTTCCACCGAGGCATTCCGTATGCCTCAGCATGTAGTCTGCGCCTGGTCTGTGCCCAGTTTCAAAGCAGGATAGCGTCCCTGCAGTTTGTTATTATGTCAGCTGCTTTACCCTCAAACAAGCAGCATGTTCAGTTATCAACCCTTAACATACATTCATTGCTTTAACATAAAAAGGCATTGTCATCTCTGAAGTGCAACAGGACCAGATGGGAAATCCTCCCAACACCACAAGTCAGATTTTATTCAATCACCTTAAAACTGCAGTTTAACTTGCATTTCAAGAAGATAAAAGCAAAGGCACATAAATTACCACAGGACCAGCTAGAATGTAAACTTGGAACTCATCAGCTACTGTTGGGTAACTGCCCAAACATAAGCCTTTACCCAAGGGTAAATGTAAAGACATTAATTTTCTTCGGCAGGGTAAGCCATATTGCACTTACAGCTAGGTAAAAGCATGTCTGCTCCATGGCAGTGGCCTGAATGCAACACACTGCAACACACCTAAGTTCACCAGTTCATTGGCATTATGTTTATGAGCCTATGTTTTAATTTACCATCCCCAGCTAGTAAAAATATAAACCCCCGCTAGTCCACTTTCAGCTTTGACTTCAGTACATCTGAAGATGTGTGTTGAACACCACTTCTGTTTGGTTTTTTTGTTTGGTTGGTTTTTTTAAATAAAAGCAGCCTGAATACTGGACCTTCCTACATCATCTGGTCATCTTTGCTGCCAGTCCTAACAGCAGGTTTCAGAACATCACCAAGTTCTGCGAATAATGTAACAACACTGAAAAAAAAAATGCATCTGTCAGGATTCAGGGGCTTACATTTACTTGCAGTCTCAAACATACACATTATTTCCATGGGACAGTGCTCTGTATAGAAGAGTGACATGCAAGCAAACCTGCATCCCACGTCTGCTGACTTGGTCCTCTTGCAGCTGTGTCTGGCTTTGCCATTCCAACTGTCCACATCATAGCAGCTAGAAGAAAGAGAGAAAGTAATCAGCTGCGTAAAACATCGGTCACTATAGTTCAGAGGAGCTAAGTATTTAGCTGTCCCTAAAAATACAAACCGTTGCCCCTGTAAATGCTTTTAAAACACTCGTAGTTGGTTTTCCTAGGCACTTAGAAGGCAAAGTGAAAGGAAATTAAGGCAGTGCATCCATTCAGTTTTTAAGAAAGTCCCAGAGCACAAATAGCTAAGAGTCAGTATAGTCTTCTCTGTAGGCTAAAGAAAGCAAAAATCCAGAACTAGGGTCCTCATCTCCTTTGTTTTCTTCCTGGTTTCTGGCTCTTCTCTTCAAAGACAAGAATTGCCCAGGAAATTATGTTAGTACAAAAGGTAACCAGAGATTAACTTACACAGCTTACTCCTCATGTTCTGCTAAAGGTAAAGCAGACAAGTGAGGGATATGCAGAAGTTGTTAGAGCGCTAGTTTCCTCTCTGCCTATTTGTTTTGGTTCTTTCCTGTCACAATATTGGCTATTTCTGTTTTGGTTCCAAGAATAACTGAAGGATGTTTGGGGGGTTTATGCTCGAGATGGATCCCTAAATTAAAAAGGAATACCAACCATTCTGAAATCAGTGGAAGGGAACTCAAATCAGCTCTTTATTTAAGTGTGCATTGGTCTTCCTGTTTTTATAGAAGCTAAACTAAACAAAATAAGCCAAGGCAAACACAGAGCCTGCTTTTCCACAACAAGCTCAGCCAAGGTGATGTTTTTGCATCTAGAGGGAGCCACAGAATGGGGCCTTGCAATGGAGACACTGACGTTCTGCACAAAAACTTTTTGTTCAGTATTTATTTGTTGAATTGCATTCTCCTTTAGAGAAACTCTTGTTTGTTAAGTAAAACATGTGAGAGACTTCATCTAGATTGTCTCAGGTCAGTATAACAGAATCTCCAGTAAAAGGGAGGTCAGCTGAAGCCAACAGAAGCTCTGCTTGGAACATATAAAAGCATTTATGTAACATTAAATGCTTGGAAAAGAAAAGATCAATCAGGTTGTAGGCATCCTCAGCTTAGCACCCAACATTTGGAAATACTCATTCATCTTACAATGAAAAAGTCACTGAGGTCCATGAAGCACTTGAGTCCAGATCCTGCGAGTGCTGAGTTGCCTGCCTTCGAACTATCTTAATCTTAAGCACATATATACCTTTGTGGAGAAGGGCACCAGACACCATCATAGTTAAACAGCCCAAGAAAGCCAGCGAAGAGGTGACTGATTTTGTTTGCAGAGCAGTATTTGAACAGAGCCCTTTACAAACCAAGCAGCCACACAATGAACAATAAAGCAAATATATTCTAAGCACTGCAATCCGTACAGTGCAGAGCATGAGGGGGCTACAGGAAGAATGGAACCTCATCACACATTTAAAGTGTGTCTATAAAGTGTATGCACAAGGAATAAGTGTATTGACTGAGCATCATCTAATCACATAACTTTGCAAACACTACTGTCCACCTAACACAGGTTTTTGTATGCAGAACAAAGGGGCATGTTCTGCACTGTATTCACAAAAGGATAAATATACTTTTGAACATTTCAGCTTCACAAGGCAAATGTGGGCTCCCTTTGGCTAATTAGAGTTGGCACCATTGTAACTGATAAAAAAGGCCTTCTACAAATGGTCTGTTCCAGAACATAAATGCACACCAATCTTAGGGCAAGGAAGTAGCTAAAATAGTGCTCTTTGGTTTGACACAGAAACAGGTTGCAAGTTTAATCTGGCTAAAAACGTTAACATTCTAATCTTACTCACAGGAATATATTAATGCAGGAAAAATGGGCTCATTTCTCTCCTGTGCAGTTTCTACCAGCATTCTCAGTGGCCCCTTGGGACAGAGAACAGCCATCAGATCTGCAAAGAGAAAAGGGCCAGACAATCATCTCAAACTATCATGCATACTTTACATTCTTTATCTTTAAAAAACTATTCTTCCATCAAAATTACATCTATCAGTATTAACTGGATGATTTTCTGAATGGCAGTTTCTGCCACTTTGCATAATTCTAGCTGTTGTAATCCCTGAAGATGTTGTTCACTTAAAACACCATTCCCAAGCCTTAATGTAGTAATAAGAGTTTTCATTGTGCTAATCCTATAAAAAGCCTCTTGAGAATACCACGTTATTTCTTTGAAAGTAGATGACAGCATTACATTGAGGTGTTAAATTTAATTAGAGAAGGACCAGGGGGTACTTTGTTCACATTCCACGATCCATCGCTACATACACCAACTCTGTGTTTCACATGAATGAACGCCTTTGGACGGGTTCCTCCTTGCCTACCCTCTCTCCTCCATCAGAGCTCCTCACCAATCTGAATGTTGCCTCCTGGCTACCTCTTGTTCTGCAGGTTCTCTTGAAACTTGTAACTCATACCAAAAATCCATGATCTCTCGATAACCATAAACGAAACCTGCAAGACTATCAGGTTGCTACTGATAAAAATCCAACCACCCGTACATGCAGTCAGATGCGGTTCAGTACTTCCTGACTTGGTGTTCCACTTTGAAAGACACGGTAGGAGTACAGTACCTACACAAACAAGTAAGCAAGAGACAAGCCAAGGAGTCAACCTAATTGCCCATCTGCCTCTTTATAAAGCTGTTAGCACCATAAAGTTGTTTTTTGAATGACATACACAGTCCTGCGATTGCCTCAGAGTAACCTCTCCATGAGCCACACCTTGAGAGTCACAACCCAGACTTACCATAGATGGAGATTGCACCTAGAATCACCCATGCTGACCACTCAGGTAGATATTTAATGAAAACCAGTGCCATTAGAGCACTGATCATAATGAGATACGCTTGCTGAAGCTGCAAGGGACCTTTCCAGTGGATGCAAATCATTCCAACAGCTCCAAAATTCCAGATGACTAAGAACAGAGTTGGGTAATCCATGGCCACATTGTACGTCTTCAATACTTCACTGGAATACAAGAAAATTTAGCTAAGCAATAAAAGCAACTGACACACAAAGCATCGTACTAGCTGCAGTTAAACAGACAGGCCTCCTACTACACCAGGAGGAAGCAGGATAGAAGCAGCTTTCATCACGAAAGGGGAACCTGCCTTGCAGCCAATTGCTGCTCTTAGCTCCCTGTTCCTCCTGCAGGAGATGGACATGCTGTGTGCGCAGTCACCACACTGCCGTAGTCCTGAGGTCAGCAGTGATTCCAAGGGTTTGAGCAAGCAGGATTTCAAGTCTTAACTGAACATAGGCTTACAGCTACGTGACAGCCTGCAGCAGAGAAGTCATGTAAGAGTCATCCCACCAGATGCATGATGCTCACAGTTAAAAATTAAAAGTTTTAACAAGCATCACCTGCAAGTTAAAAGCTTGGTTCCACCTGAGCTGGGAGCTAAGGGAATGAGCTCAAAACAATGTAGTCTGAGAAAAAGGCAAGACAAATCAGAGAACCAACTCAGCACACAAAGTTCCTTTCCACTTGCTTCTCAATACATAGTTCAGGGCCTCTGTACCACAACATTCAGCCTGTTCACTTCATGCTCACGGTATCACATCCCAGTGGTTTTTGTAGAGTAGGCACGGTAAAATCAGGCATTGCCTATTAAAGACCTCATTTTCCATTTTTTAAAATGAAAGCTATCTCATTCTAACAATTCATAAACCTCCATTTGGAGAAGGGGAGACATTCCTTTCCTTGTTCAAGTTGGGGATTTTCTGCAAAGAGGTGAAGGAGCCCTGAACTGCCAGGTTGCCTGCACCATTCCCACTTACCCGAGATATATGTAGGTAAAGAGGAAAAGCAGCATCAAAGAGGACAGGATCAGCCAGCCATGGATGAACTATCAAGGGCAAGAAAAGACAGTGATTGAAGGGGCTGTTATCCCTCATGCAGGTCACAGGGCTGCATGCACTATTGACAGAGCTTCCTATTGTCCAACAGACTCCTGCACTCCTCCTCCAGTTTCCAAATACCCTGCCTTCCCCACTGCCAGTGAGGGAGGAGGGACAGCCAGCTGCTCCCAGTTCTCCCAAACTCTTTCATTATATATTCTATCCCTTGATGTTTGCTTTTGTTGGTTTGGGTTTTTTTCGGGGAGTAGGGGGGAAAGGGGGTCAGTCTCTTTCCTATCCATTTCCATGGGTGTCCATACTGGCTCCTAGCTTAGACAGGTAAGGACATTCTCTTTGCTTGGTGGGGAGGAGGAGAGGTTTGCCTAAAGCTGTACAATAAATCCATCTCGGGGCCAAGTTTAAAAAGCACCAATGGCCAGTGCTCAGATGCTGGCCTAGTACCACATATAACAACTGCCTGGGCAGCACAAAACATGAATGTGCCTTTCCCTCCAAGCCTTGTCCCCTTCCACCAGAGCCTCCACAGGCAGGAAGAATACCAGTTCCCACAAAGCTTGTCTGAAACTTCTTAAGAGGAGGCATTCACAGTAAATGGTACAACTTAGGCCTTAAGTACAAATGGCAAAACTTTTTGATCAGATGGAGAAGACTCAGACCTGACTAACACAAAGTAGCTGGCCTCGTTTTTAAAAGCCTACCATTAGTGACAAAACAACAGCAAAGCATATTCAGGGGCACAGCCCTACCACCACTAAGAGAGGCTTCTGTACAATATGATTCTTGCTGTGACTAAGATGTGGACTAGCCAGTGCAGTGCCTGTATTTCTCACCGACACGCAAGCCCCACTTGAACTCAAGTCACAGCATATAGGTGGAAAAGGCTCTGGCATGAACGCTTTACCTTGTAACAGCGGTACTTATAGAGCAGAACTAAGAACACAGTCATTACAACGATGACGCTGATCATTATGATGGTGTTCAACACCGAGTTCAAGAGACGCTGGCCCACAGACGGGGTGTCCTCACTGAAAGGGGTATAGATCCTGCAATATGAAGCAAAAGCCATGTAAAGTATATATATTCTCTTCTAACTAACTGCCCCAAAAGAAACCAGACCTCTCTGTGTGTAAGAAGGAAAGGGAGGCATGATTACCAAGCACAGCAAACATGAGATGTAGCCTCTGAAGGGGCTGGGCTCCAGTTAATTATCAACTCAAGATTAGTGGTCTCTATCAAAAGCACATTCCTACAGAGAAGCTGTAGCTGGCAGAGCTCTAAACAAAAAGACCTAGAGTATAAATGACTTTATTTAAGTTTAGTAGCTTCTCTCCAGGCCACGAATTTTTATTGTATGCTCTGGATGCTCTCCATGACAGTTACAAGGACACATCCCAGGTGCTGTCCTGAAAGGGGGTACCATTTCTTTCCACACTTGGTAGGAGAGTCTTGGACTCTTTTATCCCTTCTCACCACCCTGCACCACGCCCCCTGCCCCATTTTGTTTCCTTTGGTTCAGTTCAAGGGACCACAGTCCCCATTTCTCCACCTGACGTGTGAAGCACAGTTAGAGCCCCAGGAGTGCTCTCGGGCACAGTCAGCAAGAGCTGGATGGAATTACGTATCCACACCATGAGTCTTTAGGAACCAGAAATGTCATCAGGAAATGAGACACTCATCCAAATGAACATGCTGTTCCCTGATTGCTGCCAGCTAGTGAGTGAACAGACTAGGAGTTCAGCCTGGGCCTTTTACGCTGCAATATGAAGCAACTTCATTATTACACTGCTCACAGGCTTCACTGAGGGCATCCTAATGACAGCGCTAATGAACCAGTATAACGCAGGTATGGAAAAAACTTACACAGATGAACATAGCATACTTTAGTAAAATCTTTGTATGTTTACACAGCCACCTTCAGCTGTGCAAAAGTTCTCCCAACCTGCCAAGGAAGCAGTCTGTGTACAGAGACACACGTGCATGGAACATATGTATAAAGCTAGGGATCCCATGTACTCAGAGGCTGTTCTGAAGACCCCACTTACAGCTGCCCGTTTTTCTCCGTATAGAAGCGCACTGACTTTATGGTGGCGACGACAACAATCATACAAAGGGTGACAGGCACAAAGAGCATGATTACATGCTTTGCTCCATATTTCAGAGTCAGTTCCTCCTCTTCATTTTCCAAGGTGCTTTCTCTCACTGGAACACCCGAGTCAGACATGTCCCCATCAGCAATATTGTTAGGGCTACGGCTGCTACCTGTTCGTCTCTTCTGTAAAAAAATATTAATAAATATATGACACTTCTTTTCTTTGTGTTCAAAGCTTTACTCCATCATATTTCATGACGCTGCTGTAGGCCACCACAGCATACCAACTTGTTGCTAATAGAAAGGTACCAACTGAACAATACAATTAGAAACTCCATTGCAAACAGGCTGCAATGGAGTTTTTAAACCAAAACCATTAATATCAAAGAGCCTCTTCAAGTGCAAATACATAGATGGGCACACGCACATGAAGGGCAAGATGTCCAGAACTGAGATAGAAGAAATGTCATCTGAGGTGGCATAAGCTTGACCAGTTCATCCCCCCACAGCAATGCTGTGCTTGCTTTACTCTGCTGCTTCGCTGGCAGCAGGACTAAATTCTGCTCTAACATTTGCTGCATTTGACCTAGCAGAGAAAAGGTTTCTGGCAAAACAAGAAGGCTGAAAAGGATATCCTGCAAGAGTCATATGTGCATCAGGTCCTGATTAAAAGCCTGTCTCTTTACCAAAAGGAAGGAAAAGGGAGGAGTATATATGGAGAAGAGGGGGGAAAAGTCACAGTGGAGGAAATGGGAACAGGCACTGCTGCTGCTAGCTGAGAGTGACACCAGAGAAACAACACTGGCCAAAGCCAATCCTAGAAGCCAGTCTGCTGGGAGGGATTGAGGGGTAGCAGGACTACATCTATAATCACACTCCATTTCTTCATTCCCGGGGAAGGACGCACACCTACCCTATGTGCCTGCGCTTCCCCTGCTTCTGAGGCTTGCAGGCCATCCTGGTAGGAGGGTACTGAAGGGCTCTCTGCAGACATCAGGGATGTTCTCTCATTGCAGGGCTCCTCCTCGCTGTCCGAGTTGTTCATGAATGTGATCATCGTCGCTTTCCTAGGGAGCACTCAGGAGGAGCACAGCCAAGCACTACTCAAGGCTGAGGGGACAAGCAGAGCAGAAGAAAAGAGAAACAGTGAACACTGCAGTGCAAGCAACTGGAAGTCTGAAAAGGAGGCACAATTTCAGCAGGGAGGCTACAGCACACTATGTAACTCCATATCCTTCTAACAGCTGATTTAGCCTGCTGTCACCCCGGGCATGACAATCCGTTCAGTTAAAGTCACTGTGACTTTTGCAGTCAGGGAGAACAGCAAAATGCAGCACTGAAACAATTTAATACTTTTTCTTTGCCACAGCTTTCACAGTCGCTGCCTCTATTTTCCCTGTCCCATTACTACACCTTGACTTTGACAAAGGGGGTTTCTCAGTGCTTAGTGTTTGTTTTGCATGGGCCAAACGAAACTTCACCTCAAATGTTGGCTGCCTGCTAGAAAGCTAAGAGAGCTCAGCTCTTAACAGGCCTGCAAGCATCAGCAGGTAGCAGAAGTTTCTTAGTAACCTGGAGCCTCAGCTTTACATAAGCCACTAACCCGAAGTTCCGTGCAGTCTTCCCCATTATGGCTGTTTATTAACCAGATGAATTTTATAAGCAGTTCTTATTTTTGCCCATGGACAAGAAGAGGTTTGTGTAGAAAGGGAAAAACCTGTATCCTTAGGTGATCCACTTCCCCCCCCCCCCCTTATGTTGCCTTGTGATTAAAATCAAAACTACTTGGATGGGTGAAAACTTGGGAGTATAAAAGTGGGAGCTAGAACTGTTTGGCCTCTTTCCACCTACTGTTGTGCAGAAAAGCAAGCAAAGCAGTGTCGAAGCACAGAAAGGAAAGGAAGAGCTCTCCTTTCTAGACACCAGAGAAAGGAAGTACACTGCCCTGGATGCTGCAGAACAGCCTTAAAGCCAGGATTTCGGGAAGCTCTAAAGGTAGGCGATAGGAAAATTCCTTTTAGCATTTATTAAGTCAGCTTAAAAAAGCAACTGGATAATTCAGTCACCTTCTGATTCTCAGCCACCTGTCCATAAGCAAAACCAAACCTCTAATGCATTGTAAAGCTGCAATATCTACAAGAACACCTCTCCTGCAGTATTTTACTCAAGCCCGTGTGTCTCAGGAAATATATCCAACTCAGAAGAGGAAGCTGAAGAACCCATGTGACTTGGACGCAGTCACTTAAGTCTGAATCATGCATTCACAGTCCAATCAGTACACTACACTGTCTACCAGCCAGCTTGAGAGGTCAGAGTGGATACTTTGAAGATCTGTGAGATATTCTTGCTTCTCACTAAAGAAATTTAAATTCACTTTGGAGGAAGGAAAGAGGGAGGACTGGGAGATTCCCCCTTCTTTCACAACCTCCTCAACACATCTGGCACCTTCAAGAAATTTTAGGTCAACTCAGTCTGCCCAAGTGAAACATTTTTCAGACATCTGCTCCACCCCTCCCTTCAAGCTTTTTCATATTATTTTGTTCCTCTTTTAGTGGTAAAAGTGGTACAGTTGTGGGAAACAAATGCAGGGGTAGCCCTCAAGCCAGGCCTGTCAGCTTCACAGTAATACTGCATTCTTACTGAGCTGCCTAACATCTGCGTTTGTGTGCTTATTTCTTACAGAGCCCAAAATCTCCACTCTGGGTGCTTAACACACTCTTTCCAACTGAGCACGTGAGGGGTCACAATTTTCAGCTGAGAGCCTAGATTCTGGTTCAGTTATAGGATTCAGGCCATTAAAGAAGTCAGGTACATAAAGTCATTCAATCATGACATATTTCTGGATCTGTGAACAGGCTAAGTTATGCATGCCACAGGATCTGTGACCCATGGAATTTAAGTAACTCTCAAAACCATCTGCCCATGTCAGAGAACAGGGAAGAAATAAAGATTTACTCTCTGATAGTTTGGGACCGATATTTAGGTTTTAACAACCCAGTGAAAATATTAGAGAACTTCTCCCAGTATTTAAGAAACTGCCACACAATTTTTGCTATATGAACAGAACAATTCTGCAGAGGATTTAGAAGGGACAGCAAATTAACCTACTTTCAACACCCTAGTTATGCCCACTGGAGAAGTTAAACCAATAGCAAAAACACAGTGCTAATTACTAACCTCCACAATTACACGGAAAAAGAATCTCATGTTGTATTACAGCCATTTTTAAGCTGGACATTTTTTGCTATTCTCCCTCAACAAGGTTATAGACAAATGCAAAGATGCAACAGTACTTCTGATTAGCAAGCAGACTCAGACCTGAACACAGCTTTACTGTCCCTTGTTTACAAGGCTGTCGTTTCAGTGAGGACTGACACCAACAGAGCCCAGTGTATCTGGGATTTTACAGGAGCTCCTGTGGCAACCAGCCCTCCACAAATCCCCAGACACTGTACTCACAGGTGCCTTAAACTGACCTAAATATGCCATCCTGCCAAAGGGGTTGTCCCACCACTCTCAGTCTTTTTGGTGCCAACACCAGGTGCTCATCAGCTCTCTAGCTCTTTTGAAAAGACAATAGGCACTTGTTTTCCCTTTGCTTTCACAGGGCCAGGTTCCAGCAGGACTGGCTCCCAGGCTGGCTATGTGAGTGGCCCCAGTGCCCACGTGAGGAAAAGGCAGCAGTGGGGCCATCGCCCTTCCAGTAGAGTCAAGCCTTACGGTGGCAAGCCCTCTGCTCACTCCCAGACAAGCAGCCCACCCACACCTCAGGTCTGCAACGCCTATGGCAGCATGGTTCTTAGCCAAGCAGGGGTCTTCGACGTATAGTTTATGGAGGCAGGAATGCTGACCCTCCCCCTCTGCCCCACCATGGCCCCAGCAGGGAGTTTGTCTAATGCCACTATTTATTCATCAGAACTGCACTTTGAACTGGCACCAAGGCTGTCCTGGCTGCTGGAGAGAGCTCTGGTTTAAGCAGTCCATCCTTCAAGGGAGGAAGGACCAACCTGGTCACTCTCATACCCACATACTCAGCACAACAACACCCACTGGGCTGAGCAGAGCAAAAGAAGAGAAAGCCTCTGTCCTGGGGGCTTACTTGCCAAACAGAAAGGGAACCACAGAGCACCAGGCAATCGAGAAAGCAGTGTTATAAAGCCACACTGTTTTCTGGTATCATTTCACCAGTTAAACTAAGGGAAGGGGCCTTGCAGAGAAGATTCCTGCCTCTCAAGGCAGACACTGGATACCCCATAATGGAAAGCACAGGAACCTTCTTTCCTACTCATGCACATAGACTGTGTTTTCCTAGGCAGAGCTGAAAAGGGGGAAGGACGGTTCAGGAAAGGAAAGCATGGAGAGCTGAGACAAGCATGCTTCCTTTTCGGCTATAGCAACAGGAGAAGCTTGGGGGGTGGGAAATGCAAGCTTTATCGATATTCATGGAAAGCTATAGAGCACAGTCTACCAAATACAGCAAACAAAGGAGAGGAACATCACGTGCCAGACCATCATCAAACTGACCCAGTAGGTTGCAAGGTATCAGGCAAGGTTTTCCTCTTTTCCTCTGTGGTTGGATTCAAACCGTTAGGTCCCATTCAAAAATCATACAATGTTAAGAGCCAAGAGACAAAAACTCTCAAAACTGTATGGCAAAAATGAAAGGGGACAAAAACTAGGTCAGTAGTAAGTACTTCTTATAACAGAGCAGCTGAGGTGGGAATATGATGACTCCTGCTCTATAGCAGTCTCGTGAAGCCTGAAGGAGAGCAAAAGTCACCATTTCTCTCTTTCCAGATGCCCTTCGTGCAAGGGACCTCTTTCCTCAACTGCGATAAATCGGCTTTATGGATTTTGGTGAAACTAGGCCAATTCACACTAACGTTAGAATCTAGCCTCAGTTTGGCTTTTAATTTCATGCTGCAACTTCACTGTGCTGCAAACAAACCTAAATCTTTTGCTTTGCATTTCATCCGTCACAAAATATACCAGTACAATATACAGCACAGAACAGCTGCTATAGGCTGGCAGAATACTTAATAATCCACTTGAGAATTAAAATTCCTGCCTGTACATATTGTTCTCTTTGATGGCAATTGGATGAAGAGAATTAGTTTTTCTTTGCTATATTTAGATCAAGAGAAAGCTCTGGGCTGATGCTGACAGCCTGATGTTCTCCTAAGTTTCAGCTGTAGTAATCACTGCTGTTGGTAAATACAAAGAGGAAAAAAACTTTCAAGAAATCCTAAGTGGTAGGGCCAAAATTAGGAGCAAGGATTTCTGGGTTCTTGTCAATATAAAGCCAGAATGTACATGCTGCTAAAATGACAGGGGACTTAGAACACACCATCTCAGTAGTCAAAAGAGAACTTGCAGATGCTGTTCACTTTCAGCCCCAGAATGCAAAAATAACAAAACACGAGATACTATGGGAAGTTGTAGAGATTTGTAGCCTTCCTTCTCCATTTGAGGGCACACCAACGCAGCTGAACTAGCACTGCTTTCTTTTGTCCCACAAGAAAGGCATAACACATAGCCCCAAAGGGTTATTTTGCTGGCAGAGCTGAAATCAGACCCTCCCCAAGAGCGTCAGAAGGACTATTTTGCCAGCGTTAAGCCCAAATACACTAGCAGTCAACTTCTCATCACAGCATAAAGGCACCACAGCCCTGCAGACCTACTTACACCAATAAAACCTCAAAGCCCAGGTCACACTTCACACACGGGAGCAGCTACTCGCGTTGGTCCTAATGCTGCTGGGGGCACCCAAGCCAGCAGGTGCTGGAGGCGACACAGTGGGGACACCCACGGACACCTGCCTTGGGGCTGGGCTCCAGGGTCCTACCCGAGCACCTGGGGCACTGGGGCTGCCAGCCACGGGCACACGGGGACCCACCGGGGCCACAGGGCTGGGTCAGCTTCCCTGTCCGTCCAAGCGCACGGCCAGCCCGGCCACGCATACAGCGGCTGGCGGAGAGAAGGAGAGACAACAAACACTTTAAAAAAAAAAAAAAAAAAAAAACCCCAACAAAAAAAACCCTGCCAGGCACAGATTTTGCAGAAGGAGACCTTGCACCCATGCAGGCATCTTCCCCAGCTGCCCTTAATAACGCTTAAAAATCGGGTTGCCATTCAAGGTGTGCCGGCAGCGCTTCCAAGTGAAATCCTGGACTGCAGGCAGGAATGCCTATTTATACCCATACATACACACAAAAACATACATGAAATATGTATTTTATAAATACACGTAGCATGCACTTATATAAAAACATGCATATATATGTGCACATACACACACATATACATATGTGTATAACTTTCACCAGAACGAGCCAGCAGCGCTGCCAGATCTCCTCCCCCCGCCCCCAGCCTCTGTGCCGGACCCTGGCATGGAGCGGAGGGGCCTCGCACGGCTCCAGCGGCGCGGCGACCCCGAGCCCCGACGCGAACGCCGGCCGGGGCCGGGGCCGGGGCCGTCCCGTCCCGCCCGACCCCACCGGGGACAGACCCCGCGCCCGGCCCGCCGGAGCAGCCGCCGTTGTTTACCTGCTCCCGGCGCGGCACAGGCTGAGCTCCGCTCCGCTCCCATTGGCCCCGGCGCACTCCGGACCTAACGCTGGCCGGAGGGACGAGCGCAGCCGCCGATTCGCCGCAGCGGCTGTCGCTCGGCGGGCGTCCCCGCCTACTGGCCACCTTCCCCCAATGGGAGAGAAGGGTGGGAAGAGGGACGGCCAATAGGAAGGCGGTTCTCTCCTCTCTTTCCCTCCGCCGTGAGGCGGGCTGTGAGGCGGCGGGCGGTGGCGGAGCCGCCATAGTGGGGGGGGTTGGGGGGGGGGGCTGGGGGCTCACTGGGGGCTGCGGCCGGCCCGGGGGGAGCGGCAGCACACGGGGAAGAGCCGTGCGTCCTGCAGCCGGGGGCCGGAGTCGGGCGTGGGTTTCTCCCCTCAGCGGCAGCGAGGGAAACCGACGGCTCAGCTCGGCCGGGGCCCGGCTGCTGTTAAGAGGCCAGGCGCTGCGATAAGTGGCTCTGTGGAAACACCTAAGTGTGTAGATAACGGGAGTGAGCTGTCTGGTAAAGCACCGTCAGCTTCCCTTCAAGCTGAAGGACTGCGTCCTCATAGCTGGACGTGTGAAATTTATAATGCCGGTGAAAGGCAATTTTAAACTAATTGCTTGAAAATGCCTGGCTTTACACCCGTAACTTAACGTTTTTACAGACCCTGTAACTAACTGAATGTAACTACATGTTACATCAGTGTAACTAAATGCTCATCAGTGGCCTTCAGTAAACGGGAATGCTACACAAGTGTGCAGGTCCTGATTGAAATAAAAAGGTAAGGAGGAAGTGTGGAGGAGTAAATAGAGAAACCAGAGGAAATGGCCAAAGAATAGTTCTTTCGGAGTTGTGTCTGATCTCTGCTCAGTTTATCGATCAGAAGGGTGAATAAAGGGAAATCACAAACATTTTCACGTTATTTGCTATGGGTGTGAGAAGTTTGTATTTTCAGAGTGTAACCTTTTTGTTTAAAATATTTTTTTAAAAACCTAGCATGATAGTAACCAAGATAATCCTGTAGACAGAGGACACTGCTCTTCAATTAGCATACAAACCTCTCCTGTGCCTCTGTTCCCATTGCTCAGTCAAGCAACAGTTAAGTGAAATTAAGATTCTGGCAGCTCTGTAGCACTTGCTCATCATCTGTGGGGGCAGAGACACGAACTGGAGTCACAGTAAATTCTCTCTGCTGCTGTTGTCACTTAGGAAGAACCTCAGGCACAGACACGAAGTATTTGCAGCAGAGCTTCACGTTCCTGTTTGCTTCGTGCCAATCCATGATGATCATGTATACAAAAGGAATGAGGAGTAAGATGGCTATGAAGGAGACACAATGTACAATAAGTGAACTGCCCTGCTATATATCATTAGACAAAATGGAATTTTTTGCAGATTCCACATTGAAGTTGGCCATCACGTTCTTTTCCCCAAATTTCCTGCACAATATTGGTGACCAGTGATACACCTTCCTTATACCTGTAGTCCTTACTTTAAGCCACTTTGCACACAGAAATAAGTTACATGTAAAATTCTTCAGAGCCCCAGAGAGTTGCCTACCAAAGCATGGCCAGCTGTCCTTTGCCAAGATAAAGTCAGTCTAGGAAAATTGATAAACTGTGTGCTTGGCTGCATTCTTCATTAACAGAGTATCGGAGCGCTTTGTAATAGTTTTCTGTCAAAGGCTGTGTTTATCTTTGGTCTTTGTGCTAAGCTGTTGAGTTCCTTTTCATTGGACACTTGATCCAGCTGGAGGTTTTTTTAAATGGGAATTTCTCTGATTAATTGAATCCTTCATACATTGTATGCTTAGCTGCTTGTCAAGTTTGTTTAATATTAGAAGGAGCAATTTTTGTTGCACTTAGGTTTTCCATGACTGACAGTAGTTTTACACCCCTTTACTTTTACATGGAGCTTACATATCTGACACAAATTTGGGATAATAGTAAAAATATTTATCTGTTTTAAAACATTTTACATCTTCAAAGCCAAAGTATTGACAGTCTGAACTGCACTGCTCTTCACCTCACTGGCAGCTGGCCAGTCCATCTGAGCCTGCCTGGAGTTATCACTGAGCCAGCAACAAGCACGTTCCAGTGAAACCCCTGGCCTGCCATAAATCTGTGCAGGCAGTAGGTAAATTGTTCTTAGGCTCCTTCTTGTAGGGGCTGAAGGGATGGGAACTGGTTTTACAAGCCCGGCTGGCCTTTCTCAGCAGCTTTAGAAGCTAAACTTGCAGCTTTTTTTCTCTCTTAAAAATGCTGCTCTTGAGTATGAAGGGCTCTGGGAGAAGATTACATTAACATGAACTACACAGGTGTCTATTCAGGTCTCTGGCCTCAAGTTGAGAGACAAAAAAATTCCTTGCTTCTCTCCACATTGTCACTGGATCTTCCCTTTTGTTCTCACCCTGTTGGACAAGTGCAAAGAGATGTAGGACTTGTGCAACCTAGGAGAGGGTTTTTGGAAAAATTACATCTACTGCAACCTTCATGAAAGCACAAGAACTGATGGCACTGGGGCTGTGAGTATGTGAAATCCAGCTGTCTTTCCGAGGATACGTAGTCTGCCTGCCTCCTTTGTACTTTTCAGAGGCAAAAATCTAGCTTAACTTAGTGTTCCTCTTCTGTACCCTAAAGTGGATAATAGGAAGACAAATAGTTGTTTCAGTCTCTCCTTTCTTGAGAATTACTACCATACAGCTTTCAGTCAGAATGTCCCTTCACATGTTTTTTCCTAGCTGCATCACATGAGAAACAGCTGACCTGAGAGCAAGTTAAAAGACTCCTTGAGCAAAGCCCCACACTGTATTCATATGGCCATCAAAAATATTTCTGCTTTTTTTCTCTTCTTTAAACAGATCTGTGAAGTCATTTCCTTGAAGGATCTCTCACAGATAATGTAAAGTATGCCTGTTCCTAGGAAAATCATGTGACAAGCTGCATCGCAGCTTTTTGACTTGGGAGATCAGTGTCCCTCACCAGAAGCAATTGTCACCAGGCTGCTGGTTGTTCTGAAGTACATAGGGACATCCTGTGGGATTGCCCTAATGTGCTCCATTTTAGTACTTGGACATTTACACTAGGAGATCTCAGGGAGGTTTGGGTCATAAACTGTTACAATCCTCTAAATATATCCAAAGAATTGTGACTAGATTATTTCAGGAGGTATAAATAATACCCGGAAATAGGACTACTGACACAAATTCAAACACCGAGATGCTCCCTTGGCTTTCAAATGGAAACAGACACACCACCACCTGTCAAAATAACATTAAAACCTCTTATGCTTACACAGAAGATATGAATAGGGTCAGGCCCAGTATATCGGAGGTTTTATGCTAGAATAGACAGTACCTTCCAAGAGTCTTGCTCAGTTTATTCCACTCTGTAAATCTGCTGTCCCTCAAGGAAAGGTCATTACTGAATACCAAAGTAAACATTTTTCTCATAACTGAAGGACATCTGCTCATTCACAAGATTAGTTAGCCTGCAGCCAGGGCTAATGACGGGAGTGCCACCTGTGGATGGGTATCATATATTGGTGTCACACTTCTGTGTTGATTTTTAAAGGGTAATCCCACATTGGTGTACGTATGAAGCCTCAGATCCAACCAGACAGTTCAGACTTATGCTCCAGTATTGAAGAACATGGCATATCCTTCCATCTAAAACAGAGATAAAATACAGATCTAAAGTCCCCCAGACTGTACACTATTGATCTGACCCTTGGAAGTGCATCTCCAGCATAAGGGAATACTAACCAGTTGTGCCGTGAATGTTCATTCAGTACATGTCTCCCATGGCGTTGCACAGACCTGAGATCATCTCATGGTCCGTTCATTCCAGGGTCTATAGCATCACAGAAGCTGTGTAGATGACTGCTTACTAATGTATGTAGAAATGAGCTAAACACAAGACCCAAATCAAACAGACAAGGCCAAGGTGGTGGGAGGGGAACAGGAATTAAATCTGGTTAAGTGTGCAGCCACAAAGCAATCAGTGATGCATCCAAATCAATGCAATGCCACCAAAGTCTTGCTTTTAAGCACAGGTCCTTTGCAGGCCCATCAAGCAGGAGCAGGACTGCTCCAGTGGGAGTCCCCTCTGCCTGCCTGGGAGAAGGAGCAGAGCTCCTGCAGCCATGGTGCCTTCTGGGCCACTGTCTCATTAAGACAGTTTCTCCTGCCTCCTTGGGTACAGGTTTGTACAGTTTTGCTAGAGAATCAAATATCTCTTTAGGAGACAAATGGACCAGCCTGAAAAGCACTATTATGCCTTTAAGGTTGTTGGTATCTCTTTGGCATTCCAGATCTTGGGTCAAATCCTTCAGACAATCCAGGCTCCAATAAGTCAGCAGACCTGTTCATGTGACTTGGAAAACATGAGTTAACACTGCTCTGCTCTGCCTGAAGTCAGTGATAATAACGACTTTAACTGAAACAAGGTCAGTCCTGGGAAAAAGGCAAACCCATGTCTACCGTCTTTTAAAAATGCACATGACAAAACAAGACATTCCCAATAACTATACAGATGAACCTGTATAATTCACTTGGGCCCTCTGCTGGTAATTATCGTGGGGAGGACGTGGGTAAGGAATGTCAATTATACATTAATATGCAAATAAATCGTTCCCCGGTTGCATTTCAAGGAGGTTCCCTCCTCCACAGCCTATAAAAGAGTCTTGCTATGTACAATATACACTAGGGGGCAGAGGCCTTCTGTGCATGGACATCTTGCCAGCTGCACTAACTGTTTGACTTAAGAGTCTCAACTCTGTTACGCTGTGTGATAATCCTTCGAGGGGATTTTTATTGTAATCAGATTCCTGCGAAATACATTAGGTGCTCCTATAGCCCTCTGTGGAGAATTCATCTGTGAAATGTGTCCTGTTGTAAAACTCCTGACACTACCAGAGCAATTGTTTTGAAACCATGTTATTTGCTGGAATCCACCACATTGTTCAAGCACTCAGATTCAGCCTAGCTTGTCTCTGCTGGCACAGTTGTATCATGACCAGTGTTCCCATTGCTGGAGCTACAACTGTAGCAGC